AATTTCTGAACTTCTGTTGTGAAAAGTTGTTCTATTCTGACATTATTATGCTTAGAGTTGCTGTCCTGGTTTTCGATAATCAATTATTCAATGTCGGGCTTCAACTTTTGTTCGTGTGTGGGTCTGGTGTTCTGTTTGACAGCTTTTTGGTTGATAATATAATAGTCGGCTCTATGATTCTTTCGTCATGTAGATGTGTGATGACACTTTCTTTCTTTAGTGCGTATTGGGCGGGTTCTGCTCGTCTGTCACCAGGCTAAGGAACATCCCTACTTCCAGCGGCCTTAACAACAGGTCTGCAGGAGTTAAATGGTAGGGATTTCTGGGGCAGTTAAAAATATGACAAGTTTGGGGTGACAATTTATAGTTTGGGCAAATTGGGGAAATTGGTTATCCAAGTGGGCGAGTTAAGTGTTCAAAAACCGACTGTAACCAGACCGGAGCTGGGAAAGCTTGCAGCGGGTGGTTCTGGAAAGAGACTGTTCAGAGGGCGCGATGCTCAGAGACGGAGTACAAATGACTTTTGAGAGAGGAGTTTCTGTTAGGAACTTGCTTGCGAGGTTTGTATGGTTTTGTTTAAGAAGGGACTTGTGGTGGTTGCAAATGAAAGTTGAAACTTCTGAGTCGCTAAAGTATAGTGACGTTTTTGTTCGGTTAGAAGGGAAACTATGTTTGTCTTTAAATGCACTGAAAATGGATTGTCGAACATGACGTAGGAGTGGGGGGTAAGAGTGATAAAAATGATTTCGGTTTAGTGAACGGTATGTGGAGATTAAAAATTGAGAAGTGAAAATGGAGTGATTGTTGGGAAAGTTCAGGATTTCGACTTCACTGTGCAGGTGGGGTTAACAGCAGGGTTTCTTAAGACTGACGCCAAAAGGAACCTGCTAACACCTTCTGGACTCCTATCCTGCGTCGAGCCTTGTCAGCAGATCTCTTGCAGTGAGATGCCTAGCAGAGGGTCGCGTCAAAAGTAAACCCTAAAATTTTTTGAGTTTTTAAGAGGGAGAGGCTCGTTGTTTAAAAAGACAAGAGTTTTGTTAAAATCTTTATGGTTTGATGAAAGCAAGTTAACTGATCCTCAGAGGACGCGAATTCTAAATAACGGTATTTGAAAAAAAAATTAAAAGGCTATGCAGATAACCATTTAGTGAGCTCGATGCTGCCTCAGCGTTGGGGCTTTGGGCGAAGGGGTGGAAATCATCAGCGTATGAGGTGAGGTGAACCTTTTCGGAGAGCGCAGGGGTGTCATGGTTGTAAAGTTTAAACTGAGTTGGTGATAAAAAAAAAGAGCCATGGGGAATACCACAATGAACAATTCTGTGATGTCACTCATTCGTAAGCACCCTGTTGTTGTTCTCAGTGCAGTGTTCTGTTTCACTTAAAGGCGCGGCCAGTTGGTGTAACTTAGGTTGGGGGTCCAAATAGAAGCTGCATAGTTCAAGACACTCCTCCAAATTGCCTTGTAGATTACATTGAGTGTTTATTTGGAGCAACCCCAGGTTGTGCTAGCAAGTTGTTTTGAGAATGTTGTTTCTGTTCTGGAGTTTGTCGTAGGTCTTATTGCAATGTTCTTGAAAGTTCAGTTGTTATTCAAAAAATAACTCCGGCATGTAAACCCAGTCATGTAAATTGCGCTGTGTTGTGCGTAAATTGTTGAAATATTTCTTCTCAGCTCATCTTCATTGTGAAGAAGCTTTCTATTGGGAAATTTGCAAAAAATATTAAGCGATTAAGCGGTACATTAAGCGGCGATAGCGAAAAGCGGTTTCAAAAAGCAGTGACAATGCTCTTTTTCAAAGACTGATAAGAACATCGTTGTTGGTGCACTTGCAAACGCTTTTTATACTACGATCTTTTTTCTATTTCCATCTGTTAAATTAAGGTATAATGTGCCAAGTGTTTCCCTAGGACAAGAAATTTTGGTATTTTCGTTGTAGCGCTAACTCTAATTATAAGAACTAGTGTGTTGCTTGTGTTCTTTGATTTCAGGCAGAAAAGCATAACAGAAAAAACGGTATTTTTTTTTGCAAAATCACTGGTTTTTGCGAAAACAACTTCTGGAGCTAAATTTTTTATGGAACTTTCTGAAATATCTGCACAGCAACTGAATGTTTTTTGCCATCTTTGAACATATTTTACATCGACTTCAGAAAATGATAATGAGGTCGCAGTAAAATTGTGAAAAAAATCATTGTTATGGGACAAAAGCAATCTCTTGTTATACTACGAATTGACTGTTTTTTAATTTAACTCGTGTGAATTTATGTTGAAATTTTTAGGTGTCTTTTTAGCATTTGTGATGTGCTCAATTGCATGTTAAAAGCTTCTGTTGCTATCCGTTGTCTGAAATTTATTGAATTCATTGCTAACTGGTGGTTTATTTCTAGTAGAAGGTGTGTTCACGGCTAGTTGTTTTGGCGCAATAAGAAAGGGAATTAATTCTTATTATAGAAAACCGTAATATAGGTTGTTCGAATCCTGTAGTTGGCAAAAATTTGACGGGTTGTGAGTGTGCTCACCAGCGGATTTAGGGGGGGGGGGGTTGGTCAAAAATTTCCAAAAATTGTTTTGAAACGCCTTTTTTGCCTGGTTATTCAAAATTTTGACTGCGGCGCAGAAAATTTGGTCTAAATAGGAGTCTTAATAGTAATTTGGGAGAAAAATGGGAGTCGTATTAGTAATTTGGGAGAGCTCAGAAAATCAATTTTCGATTTTTTTTTTTTTTAAATCCGCCCCCCTCTTCGAGAAAATCCTAGATCCGCCCCTGAGTGTGCTCCTGGTTTTCCCCTTTGTATGCTGTATTTGCTCATCCCTTTATTTTTTTCGTTCATTTTCTCCGTGGTAATTGTTTTTGGTAATATGTCACACGACTTGTTTGATGTTTTTGTCAATATTGTGTTACTATTTTCAGATTATTGGCGACGTGCAAATTTATGCAAATATAGTTATGGAAATATCTTTAATTCTCTTTTTATTTCTTTTCATTGAAATCCACAGTTTAGTTGATAAAGAGCTTCCGCCACCTGGTAATCTAGCCTCACCCTTGTTACCCTGCTTCATGCTTCCACACGACTTCATTCAATGTGACCCGCCGACATTTTATGACAACGCTTCGACAACTGACCCCACAATTGGACTACCCAAAGTGTGTAAAGATAATGAGTCGAATAAATACGGTAGACATCGTGATGTCCAGTTTTTAATAAGATTCTTAAAATAGTTGAATATCCTTTTCAGCTAGAAAATTTTCGCAAAAATATAAATACACGTTTCGGATATTTTTTGGTAAATACTGGCCTGAAAAAAGTCGCGAAATCATTGCAAAATTTCGAATATAACGGAAAGTTTTGAATTTTCGATGACCGGATATGTTTGACAAGATTTAAGCACGATTGATTGTTTAAATGGATTGTAACGCATAATTGAGCAGCTGATTTTTTCACGTTTTGACCTTGGATTACTTGGAAGAACTGTTTTCGAAGTAATATCGATTTATTTTCTTTGCAAACTGTTTCATTTGTACTGCAATCAGAGATGTTCATATAACAAAAAGTAAAAATTAGGATTTAAATTATGATTTTTCAAACAATTATGAAAATTGTTGGCATCAATTAAAACTTTTTTAAGCAATTTATTATGTTCTGAAGTCTGTATTTTACTGAAGTCTGTTTTTGCCAACTCCGACTACTTTTTTTTACAATTTTGAACAAAGAAATTGAAAGCAGTTTTTCGAACAAGTCGATTCGTAACAAAATTTTTATAAATTTGTCGATTATTTGCTTTTTTTTCTGCGGAACTGAAATGTGAAATGCATTGTCATTCGTGAAATGTGTACTTTGGCGTCGGATCGAATCCCGCTTGGGAATTTATTTTTAAATTTAAATTGCTCGGTTTAAATACACGTTTTTCATTCAAATTGAGTGGACTCATATGTTTACATTTAAATAAATTTAGATTAAAATTTAAATTAGTTTTTTTTTAAATAGACATCACTGCTATGTGAACTTTTTTGATTCAAAATTTATCTGGACATTACTGTAAAGGCGAGCATCAGTATGTCAGTGTTCTGTGCCGGTCCCTACCAGGAATCGAATGTTATGGGGAGCGCAAATTTTGGAGTCGACAAACATACCCCTGTGTACACTACAACGGTCATAACTTTGTGACGACATTGCTGTATTCGTTGTTTTTGGGAGTTTTCGGAGTGGATCGATTTGTTTTGGGTCATACAGGTACAGCAGTGGGGAAAGTTTTGACCCTGGGAGGACTGGGAGTGTGGTGGGTGGTGGATATTGTGTTACTATGTACTGGAAATTTGACACCAGCGGACGGAAGCGAGTGGCAAGTGTTTTACTAACTAGCATTTAGTTAGTTATTTGGTCGATATTACCATGTTTTACTAACTACCCATCAGTTAGTACAGTGATCGACAAAAATTGCACCAGTCATAGGAAACTTCTGCGTGAAATCTTCTTCAGCGAGAAATGAATCAGGCTGCAATTAGAAACTTTTTGACATTGTCTTAAACAATGCAAAGGAAAAGATGGTTCTATTGTATTTGAATTTCTTGAAACTTCTAAATGCAGAAGTTGAAATAAGAGTTCATGATCCTGTTGAGCTTATCTGTCTTCAGGCACTGAAAAACATTGATTAAGCTCGTATTTGTCAAAAAAAAATAGCGATAGTTCTTTGTTCTCTAAATATTTCTTTCAATTGGAAGAATTGTGCTGCTAATACTATTCAATGTATGTAAATTGCAAGCATACTCACCATACTGAGTAAATTAGACTCTGTATTTATGATTCATGATGTCTGTTCTATTTTTATTAACCACAAGATGGCCTATTTCTCAATGAATCAGTGGTTTTAGAGTTGGATATTTCGAAGAAATCAAAGTTTCAATTTAGATTAAGATACTTCAGATACTTTGAGTTCGAGTTTGGATGATAGTAAGTTTCCTTTTTGATGTCTCGAGTAATTAAATAGTTATTTCAGATTTGAGTTTTATGATTAGTTTCCTTATCATTGTGGCCTTGTCAATGAGTTATCAATCCATATCTCCATCTATACATTTCAAACAACAGCTTTTCCAGTGTAGCCCAGAATATCGTACATAGCTTGTATCGTACTCAATAACTGCCAAAGGGGCATTGGTAATTGAGTCTACAATTGTTTTTTATCAATTTGGTAATTCGGAAAAAATCAAAAAGGAATAGAAGAATATTTTGTTGTGCATGAAAAGATTGCAAAATTTGAAAAAATATATATGGTTGTTCTTAAATTTATCAGAAATTACCCGAAAGAAGATTGACAAATAATCAACCCCAAAGATTCAGTTTCTGAATTTGGATAAAATTGACGTTTGTGTTCCGATTTTTTAGTATAATGATATTTTAGACTCAATTACTAGTACTTAGACCCCCCTGCCAAACAAACCCTGACAAGATGGCGCCTTGGCGTCAAATGTGGAAAAAGTTCACGTCTAATGACTCAAAAAACACGAAGGAAAACCAGTTCGGGTCTTCGATTATCCGAGACAGGGATCCAGAGGAGCTATGGGAGACACATGCGAAGTTGGGAGATGGAGCCTTTGCAGTCGTGTACAAAGCACAGAACAAAGCAAACAAAAGCAAATACGCTGCGCTGAAATTGGTGAGTTGCAGCATCATAAGTGTCTTGTAAACGAGAGCTAGACTTTTCCCCCAGGGTTAACGCCGTGGCCTTTCCACCCTATGGTCTGGTGTTTGGGTCTCGGCCGAATCTTGTTGTTTTCAGAATAGAATGTATGCAATTGAACTTTTTTGTTCAGTATAAATTGATTTGTCGGACTCTCGGTTGTCTGCTCAAGTTTTGTCGGCTAACTTACCACATCACGGATTTTGCTTGCGATGTAAGCAATTTTTATTGCAGCTGCAAGTGAAAGTGTTGTTCAATCTAGTTTCAGGAGGAGGCTTGAAAGATTTTGAAAATCAAAAAATCCTGTTTTCGGCTCAAACAGTGTCTGCTTAAATATTTTAGCTCAGTTGTCACATCAGCAATTTTTCTTGTGCTATGAGCAACTTTCATTGTAGTTGCAAGTGTTGTTCATTCTAGTTTCAGGAGGTGACTTGAAAGATTTTAAAAAATCATAAAATCCTTATTTCGGCTCAGCTAGTGTCTGCTCAAAGATGTCGGCTTAGGTACCACTTCACTGAATTTTCTTGTGCTCTAAGCAAGTGTTGTTCATTCTAGTTTCAGGGTGGACTTGAAATTTTCTTTTAAAAAATATCATAAATTCTTTTTTCGGCTCAACTAGTGTCTGCTTAAAGATTTTTGGCTTAGTTGTCAGACCAGCAGTTTTTCTTGTGCTGTGAGCAACTTTCATTATAAATGCAAGTACGAGTGTTGTTTTTTTTGTAGTTCCAGATGGTACTTTAAACAAAAAAAACGAACGTGTGTCTGCTCAAAGTTTGTCGGCTTTGTTTCCTCTTCGTAAGATTTGTTCGGTTGCTAATTTAATATTCAAATAGCTGGCATGTTTGCCTAGAATGAACTTATATCGAGGCATACAGAAATTTAATTTTTGGTAGACCTTGTTTTTTTCTACTTTCTTCATTTTTTTGAGTTGATGTTTTTTATTTTTGTGTTGTATCGCAAATGGTGCGAATCTCTGCTTCGCCTTTGTGTGATAATAACCATACTGAACATTACACGAGAGTCAGAATTAATTTTTCGTACAAACCTGTAAGAAATTAAACTTGAATTTTTCTTGATCATCGAAAGCTGCCAGTCTCCTTCCCACTTGGTCCACAGATAACGCTATAGCCTTTACACCCTAAGATATGAGATTCGAGCGCCGATCGGACCATGTTTTTTTAGTGTATATGAAATTCATTTTTTTGTCGGTCTTTTGCTTCACTGCTTATTTTTTGTCGGCTTAATTTCCAAAGCATGGATTTTGTTCTGATTGAAACAATTCCTTCTATAGCTATCAGTCATCCTGGAGTTTTGTCAATTTACAAACTCAGAGATTTCGAATAAAGTTGTTTCTTCTTGAAATTTTTTATGTGTTAAAGTAATTCAGGAAATGTGCTGAAACGCTTTAAAACTTAATCGCTCAAAATTTCGAATGGGATTTTTGTTTTTGTCTCATTGGGTATCTACCAAATATTGTCGGCTTAGTGGCCGCTCGACCAATGATTTTGAACACTTATTTAATGCTGGTGGTTGTTTTTTTTAAATTGTTTTTCTGAAATTGGATTATTCATTTTTTCTAGTTTTTGCAATCAACAAGGGTACAGCAATCGGGTAGTAGACTTTTTCTGGTATATATTTTTGTTCCAATGACTCGTCTCCTTGAACGAGGCATCGGTCGACTCATCTCTGTTGGATTTTTAACTGCAACAGATTTTTTTTGAGACTGTTAGTATTTCAAATATTCGTCCTATTCAAAATTTGCTGTTAATTTTGTTTTTAACTTTACCATCTCGATTTGTTAACTGTTCATTTTTTTCAAAAGTTTTTTCTCTGCTTAATAGGTGTCGGCCTTTACTCTATTTGTTTAAGTCCAACAATCTTTCTCCTTAGCTGTCTCATATTGTGTCGTTTGGTGAGCGAAAAATTTTTTGTGTCCGAGTGCGTTTAAGGGGGAAGGAAACTTGAAACTTTTTTTTGAGTATTTAAGTCTTTACCCTTTCGATTAGAAAGGGTATTCCAATAGGGTTACCTGATTTTTTTCTGATTAATAACTTTGTTCACAAGGCACGTCTGGAATCATCTATAGTGGTACCTTGTTTCATACTGTACTCGAATTTCTAAACGTTCCCGGTCAACTTAGCCTGGAGGTAACGAGTATGCCTGGGACGGCTGAGGTTCTGGGATCGAATCTGACCAGGATCTGTTTTTTTTTCAAACGAAATGTTCGGTTTCAAATAAAATTATCGGCCAATTATTTTGTCTGCTTATCTGTTTCCGACATAGATGTCTCATCGTTTTTTAGCTGCGCGCTTTTTTTCAAAATGCTTTTTGTATTTCATTAACAATTTGTCATTTTACTTGCCTTGACTTTGTGCTTCAATTAAAACACTCCCCTCTGCACTTTTCAAGTTGGTTGTATGCTTACCACTCGGTTTGTTGAAAGTTCTTTTTTTTCGTTTTGGAAATTTTTTCAGTTTTTGCAAAAATTTTTACTTTTTCTCAGAAGCTTTACTGATTTTCTCAGAAGCTTTACTGATTACGCATAAACGGCTACGTCTAAATTTTGTTCACTCCAAAAGTTATGGCCCTCGGAAAAGTCAAAGTTCAAATTTTTTGACCGTTTTTTGAAAGTTCTTGATTTTTCTCGAGAACTACCCTCCCAAATCTGAGATTTTGGATTCAATCGAATTTGCAGGTTGCGTGAAATTTATTCTGCGTAAGCATCTATGTCCTAATATTTCGCACAAAAAGCTAAGATTCGGAAATGTCAATTTTTGATTTGTTGACTGTTTTTGGACTGTACTCGCTAGCTCTCCTCCCAAATCTAATATCATAGCTTTAATTGAAACAACAGGTTGTTGTAAGCCTACATTTACAATTGGCTATGCCTAGATTGTTTTTTTTTAATTATGGCCTTCAAACAAGTCAAAGTTTGGAAACTAAGTTTTATCGAAATTTTTTGACCTTACGCGAAAACTACCGTGCCAGTTCTCAGGTTGTATTCAACCGACAAACCCGGTTTTGGGAAACTTCTCAACATAAACGGCCATAACTTGCTTTTTGAAGAAAAAAATGTATTAGATTTTGGGAAGTCTTTTGACCGTTTTCAAGAATTTATGACCGTGTTTTAGGAACTTTTGAGTTTTCTCCAATCAAATTTTAGATGAAAATGCAATTGAATGAACCGGTTGCAATATTTGTTCCTGCAGAAATGGCGACAACTTACTTTTTTGTAAGAGTAATTTGATTATCTCAAAAACTTAACTCTTTCACTTATTTTAGTAGAGAATCAACTTATTTAAGTAGTATAGCTAGTTAATTCTCATCAAATAGCAGATTTTTTGAACAGTTTGAAGTGGTTTTTTTATTTGCGAATGTATCTGGCACGTGTCGCAGGAGGTTCAAGAGGTTGGCTGATTCTGACTGAAATTGTTTCAAAGCATGAAATAATATGCTTTTTTCGTTTCATCAACTGGTGTTCAGTTTCTCTTTTTTTCAAATTCATATTTTCTGCAACGTTAAGAAGTTTAAAAGAAGCTTTTTTGTGGCCATTATTTGAAACGTTTGCTTCCAAAGCTTTTGACACAATCAAATCTGAGATTAAAAATTTAATTGAAAGAACCGGTTGCAAAAATTGTTCCTGCTAGAGCGGCGACTCCGACTCCTTACTTTTTGAATGAAAATTGCAATCTTTTAGGGAAAAATTGATAATCTAAAAAACATTTTTGAAACCACGCTTTTGGTGCCGCATCAGTATAGCAAATTCATTCAATATCAAATGAATTTGCTATACTGATGCGGCACCCATGCTTGAGACGACAAAGGCCTGAATTTCGAGTCAGCTCCGGGCCTGTTTTTTGCGAACTGAAAAGTTTTGGCTATTATTAACTAATATCTGTTTGCTTATTTTTGTCGGCTTAGCTACCGCAGAACGGAATATTTGTTAAAAGTTGAAAAAAATTCTGAAAAAATCTTTGAATTCCAAATGTCATTTTATAAGTGACATTTGGAATTTTAAAACAAGTCTTCCAAGACTTTTTTTAAATATTCCAAATGTCATTAATAAAATGACATTTGGAATTCAATGATTTTTTTGAGTCTTTTTTTTGCAAATTTTAACAAATTTTTCTCCTTTTGATTAAAAGTAATGAACGTAGTGAGTACTATTATATAGGTCTTGGTTATGTTTCGTCTTTAATATAAAAGTCTTAAAATTTGTTCACGTTCAATTTGGGTTTTTCGCGGTTTGACTTTCGATTTCTTTTCCTTTGTTAAAAGGAAGACAAGCGCCACTATCGAACAGCAAAAGTGTAAATATCACGAAAAACTTGATTAAGTTCGTTACGAAAATGGGTTTTAATATTCAGATTTCCCAGCGGAATAAAAAAAATAGCTATTGATCTAGTTTTTTCAAATTGAGCTAATTTTATCAAAAATGGACCAATCATAAATTGTTCTTGAAATTCAAAGAGCATTATAGGCTATGTTTCATCTGAAATTCGATGCTGAAGTTTTTTCAAAAAACAAGTCCCTGTTAGTTTTTTTCAGTTTCCTTGGTATCGTTACGGTTTTCCAATTGGCTATATTTTGTTGATTCATCTGAACGTAATCATAGTCTTCCGTTTTTGTTTCACAAGTTGTACGAACCTCCGCTTTGCCTTTGTGTAACAGTTCGGTGTTCCGACAGCAAGAAGTAGACGGTTCGTGTAGACAGCTTAATAAACCAATGAGGCAGATGCGAGCTTGCTAATTCTGAGTCAGAAACTGTTTATGAAACTTAGTTCAGGCATGTCACCTTGTGGAAAACTAAAGTTAGAGCTTTTTCCCGGAAAAAAAGTCACAACAAGATTATATCTCACAATATGATGAAAGAGACGGATAGCGATAATAATATAATAAATTGTTTCCAAGTGAAGTCATCACACGTACAGATTACAAAAACATCACTTGAGAGCGCCGTAAGACTAAATTAAGCCTGTACAAAACAGCTTATTTACCAGATCACTATTAGCTTGAATATAGTTATCTTAAATTTGATGGTTGAAGTTGTTCAGTTCCTGGTTATTAAAACTTTTTCTAATTTCTGTAAAATTAGGCAACAAAAGGAGCAAACTGTTGAAGAGTACTCGCGTTCTGGCAGCAATCGAGTGATTTGATGCAAACTTTGGGTGTATTACGACAGCTCTCACTATTTTTCGTTAAGTTGAATTTTTTGTTGTATTTCCTTAGTAATCTTTTGTAAAATTTCAGAATTACTTTGCACAAAACTTTTACCAGTTTATAGTTATGTAATTTTTTACTAGAAAAAATTTTTATATTTTTGTGTTATAAATTTTATGACGGACGGTGGCATTGCGCTCTGGGTGAGGACGAAGGACCCTACTGTCCGACTAATCCGACCCCCTACCCTGCACCGATTTGTGACAAGAATTTTTTTTGTAAAATATGGTTTTTATAAGACGTTTCAGGAGCCAAAAGTTTTTTAGGCCAAAAGAAGCTTTTTTTGTGAAAGTTTTTCTCAGATTGTATAAAAGCCCACAGTACTTGCTTATTTTTTTTTAAAGAAGTTTGTGGTTTTCGAACAAATTTTCATCTAAAGTAATTCCAAGATATTTTAACTTTGGCGATGAAACCTTGGCAACCAAAATACCATGTAATTGCGTATATCTGAAATAAATAAAGTTATCCGAAACAATAATAATGCATATCAAGTTTATCTTTATTAGGTGGAAGACATGAAGTCCATTGAGGAAACTGAGATGATGTTAGTGATGTTGGAGATTGATATTCTGACGAAGTGCAAGCACGAGTTTGTGTTGGGATTGGAGGAGGCTTATCTGCATCAGGACAAACTGTACATGTATCTGGAACTGTGTGACGGAGGGGGATTGGACTCGATCATGCAGGAGCTGCAGAAGGTTGGGGATTTAGATTTGATGGTCGTATAGAAAATACTACAACTGTATATAGATACCTACAGTTCTCTAATAACAATTTGTTTAACACTTTTTTTGCTTTAGTAAAAAAATTAATGAATGCCATGTTGTTAATCTCATGAAATCATGGGCGAAAAAAAGGAGACAAAACTGTACAGTTATCTCAGTTATTGTGTACTGTCTACAGTTTTGTTCTCAATTATGCGTAATTAGTGCTTTCAGATTTTTTTGAATCGAAGAGCCTAATAGTCAGCGTGTTCAAGTCTCAATCAACTTGAATTTTGGTTCAATTCGTATTGAACTAACATAAAATCAAGTCTTTGTGAGATAAACGACCTTGCTGCAATAAAATTTTTGAAGTATTGCGCATTTTTTTGATGCTTTAAAATGAACCTGTGATGTTGATAGATTAAGAGCAGAACTAATTCAATCATTAGAATAGTGATTGTGAATGAATGTAGGGTCTGACGGAGCCTCAGATCCGCGTCGTGGCTTACCAGACGTGCAGTGCCCTACAATACCTCCACAGAATGTTAGTAGTACATAGAGACATCAAAGCCGCCAACATTCTCCTCACTTCAAAGGGCACTATACGACTGGCCGATTTTGGAGTGTCAGCCATGAACAACTCGGCTGAACAGAAGCGACACACTTTCATTGGTAAGCAGGTTTTTTCTTTCAGGTTTTCATGAACCTGATGCAGATGCGTGATATCAAAGCTTTACTTTTTAGCTCACACAAATTGTAAAATTTATCTAATAGGCTTCATTAAGTGTTTATTACACTAGCAAGCAGATAGTGTTTTAGTACGAACCTTCTTTTTTTCTAATCTAAATCTCAAATAAAAGTGTTCATAAGAACTGTTCAATTGTGTGTGCCGCTTTGCTATAATCACGATCTGGAGTATTGGAACTTTCATAGCATCTGTTCTCGGCTTTTTTTTGGCTAGTGTTTGTGAAGGACTGGGCATCCGTAGCTGAGTGGTAGTTCCTGAGTCTCATAATTTCTAGGTCGTAGTTTCGAGTTCGAGACGTCGTGGATTTTTTACTAATTCGAGGCTTATTTTTACTTTTTTATTGCACTTTTTAGAACACTTTTTAGAGCTGCTTTTTGTCGTGCTCTCCTTAGTTTTTGCGAAGCACAGCTTCGCTTTGTGTGATTGAAGTGATAATCTTTTACGTCTGTTTTTTTTGGAAAAATTAAAAGTTCAGGCTCAAGTTTGATCTTTTGTAGTTTGACTTTCGATTTTCATAAATTTTCAATTTCATTTGCTAAAAGGAAGGCAAAGAGGCTCTCCAAATAATGGCGCGAAAAACGTGATTGACTTCCTTTCAAGAACGGTTTTAGGTTTTTGCGTTTCCTAGTGGAAAAAAATTATGTATAGTGCTCTCAGAGGGTTAATTTGATATCCAAAAAAGTTTGAGTCGAAATTTTTTCGAAATTCAAATAGTTTTAAGATGATATAGTTTTCTCCGTTTAAAACAATATATAATTTTTTTTGGTTCCCGTGAGATTATTGACACTTCCTACTCTCTGTTGGTTATGTTTACAGCTTTGTATGTGCGATAAATGCTTAAGAACTGTATCTTAAATCATTTACAAATTTAAATTCACTGTATTTGCACTATATTTATCCAGAAACTAGTAATCTTGGATGAAAGCTAATCCAGTTTATCTCAACTTTAATCAAGTTGGCAACTCGCGATATCTTTGCTGTGAAGACTGTTGCTTTGCAACTTGATGAGAAACAATTGTTTTAACAACTGTCCTTAGGATATTGATTTTCGTAGTTTTTAATGAGGTCTCGTTTATTGCTGATATCATGAAATAATTTTGTCAGCTATCGAAGTCTTTCAGGAACTCCATATTGGACTGCACCGGAAGTGTTTGAGTGTGCGGACTTCCCCCAAAACGAATACGACTACAAGGCAGACATCTGGTCATTCGGCATCACCCTCATCGAGCTGGCCGAGATAGAACCCCCACATCACACCACCCGTCCGGAGCGTCTCTTTCCCAAAGTAGTCAAAGGACCCCCTCCTCAACTAAACAGAGCCTCTGGAGTCATCTGGAAATGTGAGTTCCACGATATCCTAACGAAGTGCCTTCAAAAGGATCCTCAGAGTCGCAGCACGGCGGCCGAGTTGCTGGGTCATCCTTTCTTGTGCGACGCCACAGACGTTAAACCGTTGATGGAACTTCTGGCCGAGTTCAAAGCGGAAATAATAGACGAGGACGACAACAGTTCGGAAGGACATCAAGATGAAGAAGAGAATTCAGCTTTGAACGATACTCAGGCGTCAGAAACATTATCCAAAATGGACATGGGAGAATCATTTGATGAGACACCTGAACAAATACTGATCAAAATGCCAGATGATGAAACTTCTGTTGTGCATCCTGAGTCAAAAATAAACCAAGAGGACAATGAGTCTAACTTAGTTCCGAACGGGCATCCAGTTCCAGATGTTCTAACGGCTGTCGGAGAGTCTGAAAAAAGAGGCTCTGAACTGATTCAACGAAGTGAACAAACTGAAAATGTGAAGACCGAAGAACTGAAAGCGGAGGAACCAAAACCAGAAGGGTCATTTGAAGATACGAAAGAAAAAGATAATGACACAGAGAACAACGATAAGTCAGCGACAGCTGAAGAGAGTGGTAAAGAGGAGTTCTCAATAGATGAATTGCCTTCTCCAATTTTACCAGCACTTCCCGTTGAGCCGACAAAGCGAGAGTCAGAGGTTGCGGCAAAAGAGGGTGGTGAAGTTACAATGACTGTTACTAACGAGGAATCATCGGAAATAGGAGAAATTGCCAGGAGCAATGAACATGAATCCCATGAACATGAAAACATTTCGAGCATTATTCCAAAGTCATCTCCGGAACTATCTCAGGAAAATGACAGTAAGACCAAGTCTTCCGAAGAAAAAGAGAAGTCTGATGAAAGCTTAGCACCTGAAATTGAAAATAACAATAGCCGTGAAGCGAAAGCGAGAGCGAATGAACTGAAATTGGAACTGGGTTCAGAGTTGAGTGGTTTGACAGTTCCTGCTGCGACTACTAGAATCATGAAGTTGAAAGGTGACGATGATGAGACACCAACAACACCTGGAGGTACTAAATCACTTGACGAGGAGAAACGTGAACGAGTGAAAAGTTACAAGAGTATTAGGAGGACGAGGAGGTTTGTGATTGACGGCCAAGTTGTGACGTCGACTCAAAAGCGAGTGGTGACGGTAGATGGTAAAAAGGATCTGGCGTTTGAGAAGCTGCAGAAACGCAAAGAGGCTATTAGGCAGGTACAGAAATTCCAGAGGAAAGAAAAAGTGCTTTTTGAGAAATCGGGAGCGGAAATCGAGGCTAAGCAGGCCGAGTTTGAAAACAAAAAGGTTCACGAGGAGGTAACAGAAAACAAAAACTTCGAAAGTGAGCGAGAAAAAATGAAGAAAAACTATCAAAATGCTTTAACTAAGTTAGTACAGAAGAACGAAAATGAGTTTCAAAGTGAGAAACGGAAGTTTAAGCAAGAAATGGATCAAAGTTTGAAGAAGTTCAAAAGTAGGATGAAAGATTCATCCAAGAATTTGATCAAAATTGAAGAATCAAGATTAACAAGAGATGAAGAAAATTCGGATAAGAGAAAAGAGTTGCTGAAGCAATTCAAAGTGAATCTTGAGAAAGAAAACGCGGAAAAAGAACGGCAACATTCTCAGTCCTTGGAGAATAAATTTAATGAGAAAATGAAAGAAATGAAGTTAAATCACAATGAAGAGTGCCTGAATTTAGAAATGCATTTTCTAAGTGAGAAACAATCTTTGGCTAAAAGATGGAACAAAGCGATTGATGATCTTAAAGAGTATAGTATACAAGAAAAAGCTCAGCTGTTAAAACAGGCGAACAGAGAAAGATTTGATTTAGTTCGAAAACTGAACTTGGAAAAATATGACAGACAGCTACTTGATATGACCGCTGCTCATGAAAAAGAAATGGAGGATCTCAAAGCTGCCCACTTAAACGACAGTAAAATGTTGCCTAAAGAGCTGGAAAAGGAAAATAAGTCGAGACTGATGATGCACCGTCGGCAAATTGAAATAATGCTGGAGAAAAAAGAGATCACAGAATCGGAGGTCAAACAAAGAACGGTTGAGTTTAAGAAAAATGACCAGAAAAGGAAGGCAGTGTTGATGAAGAAACGTGAACAGAAACGAAAAGAGGAAATTGTAATAATGAAGGAAAGACAAGAAAACGAAGTGGTAGAACTGATGTCATTTCAGAACGAACAGAAAGCGCGTTTAGACGAAACGGAGAAAAAGAAAGAAGAAAAAACGGATCAAGAGTTCAGAAAAGAGTTGGAAAAATTCAGAGAAGAGCGAAAAGTGAGAGAGAAACAACTTGAAATTGATTTTCTGAAGGATGTCGAAAGTCTGAAAAAGAATTACGAGCTAGACAATGATAATGTTGATCATCAAATGAAAGTTGGTTTCGACGCAGATGGTTCGGGCTCTTGGAGTCCGACAACAGGCGCGAGACGAAACTTCTCCCAGTCGTCTTCAAGTGTCCCGAAATCCCCCTTAAGGATCCAAAAATTGAGTGCTAGTCTAGAATTATCGGGAGGTAGTGGTAGTGGTGACCGAAGCAACTTTGAAAAGTCTAATTCCAATTCAGAAGGATTTGATATTGGGTAGATTGTGTTGTACGCATTGCATATAGGTGAGCAAAATTGTCCTGCAATTTTTTTAACAGTAAAACATCCAATTAAAAATTGGTGATCGGCCAACAAGCCTGACAATCAAACCGAAAATAGAATTACCATTCCAACAAGCCGAAAATTAGTATAGTTACGCAACAGAACAACAGATTGTCACTGTTGTGAAGCAATTATTAGGTAATTCTGATTTAATTTCGGCTTCAAGATATGGCGGTTTGTCGAGCATTCGCTTAAAAATTAATCTGTTGACAGGTTTGCTCATTACGTGTATTGATTTTATTCAATGTCTATGTAAAATTTATAAGCTGACCTTGAAAAAATTATAATCCAAATGTGGATTTCAATGGTCTGAATATAGCGGTTAATTTGGGCAGTTGCAGCTAACTTCCATATAATCATCGACCATAGTTTTTGGCTGTATAATATCGTCTCTTACTGCGCGGCATCGCCTTTGTAGATTATTCATTTTGTGTTGGTAGGCACTCGGTGCCACCTTAGATTGATAAATGTAAAGGCTGGATAAATTGATTTATTCTGATTTGTCCAACAAACCACCAATCACATTGTGTCCTAAATGCTCTCCCGTGCTACAGATCCCCAGTCTAAATTGTAGATATAGTTAATATTATTCTTTAAAAGTAGTTTAATTGAGTTTATCTCTGAATAAACTGAGAAGAATATCCTATTTTCACTGATTCTATTTTATACATCCTGTCCTGATTTCTGTTTATAAAGCACCTTAATGAGCACTTTGCTGCTGCTTAAACTTAACTGTGTACCTCAATTGATTGAGTCAAATCTACTCTTGAATATTTTCGTTGATAAATTAATTTTCTATTCACTTCAGTTTTAAAGTAGAATAAAGATTTTCAATCAATTCCTGTTGTATACAAACAATTATTATGAAAATATTTTTTATTATTATTTTTATTTCCTTTAATGCTTTGGAAAAAATTTTCGATTTTCTCAAAAAGTTTAGTTTATCTCAAAAACTACTATCGATTTTTGAAAAAGTGGTTCATGTGGAAAGACTATTCACTTCCCTGTGTGCCTGCATGTTCTTTTAGTCGCTTTGTACCATAACTCACTTTCTACAGCCATCAAAAACTCGTGGGGCAATATTTGACCAAAGCTGTTGGATTTTTTTTTCACTCTCTCGAAAGCTACCGTCTCAAGTCTGAGATTGAAGATTCAATGGATAGAACGGGTTGTGGGAAGCTCCCCTGTATCAGCGGCTACTTTCTCAATTATTTTTAGTCAAAAAGTTATGGCCCTCCATTACGAGGCCAAACGTGCATTTTAGGCATTTTAAGCGGATTCCGCAACAAGGACGCTCCCTTGGTTCTTCTTTTGTTCTTTCATTTCCTTTGATCGTTCCGACAAAATTTTAACATGTTTAAAGACTTGTCTCTGGATTCCAGGATAATATAGACACCAAATTGTGCGCCTATCCAGTGCACAGTTTGGCCTCGTAATGTCGGAAAAGTTTCAAAAGAGTCATAAATTCGAAAAAAAGTTTGGACTTTTTTGAAATTTGTTTTTCTCGAAAACTAACCTCCGAGATTCTGGTTTTAATTGAACGCAAGGGATATGAGGAGAAGCTCTGCATGAGTGGTTATGCCAATTTTTTGGCACGAAAAGTTATGACCCTCGGAAAAGTCAAATTTTTTGATTTTTTAACCGTTTTTTCATCGAGGTAGGGCGTTCGATTCGATTCCCGAACATATTAGTAAAAAAAAAACATTTTTTCTTTGTTTACTCAATAAGCAAGGGTATTGCTGCCGGGTACTGTACTTTTTGCCCGTTAATAATTTTCTCCACAGAACCAGTCTTATGGACGCCTCTGTTGGTAACACACTCACTGCAACAGACAGAGGACTCATCCTATTTTAAATTCCTGCATTTTAAATTCCTTCCTATTTGAGTTTTAGTTCGGTGTAAATATAAAACTCAATTTTTCTTTTTTACATGCTATTTTTTGGGTTATGGGCTTCGGGTTATTTTATATTGATTTGGTGGCATCCTGTTGCCTCTTTTGATCCGCGAAAAAATTTTTGTATGTGTATGTTTTGAGAGTAGGAGGATTTGAAAATATAGGTCTTGCTGATTTTTTTTTCAGGAAAGAGTCTTAAAATATTGATACAATGCATTTTTTTGCGTTCAATTGAAATTCTTCTGCTGAAAGTGACGTAAATATCACTCTCGAAATACGAACGTGGAAATGGCGCAAAAAACGGAATTTTTTGGAAATGGAATTTATTTTGAAGATTTCCCAGCGGAATAAAAACTTTACCTATTGATCCAGTTTTCTCAAGTTGGGTTTATGTTATCAAAAAAGCGTCAATCATAAATTGTTCTAGAAGTTCAAAGAGCTTAAGGGACATCTATTTTTTTCTTTGAAATTCGAAAGTTGAGATTTTAAGAAAGTCAGTTTTTTTATGTTTACTAGTGTTCATTACTCTTTTCCAATCTTCGATTGGCTATGTTCATCCCGTGCTAGTTTCATATTCTTTTTTCTTGGCCTATTTTTCTCAACTAAATTTTTGTTCATGCCAATTGAGCCAAACTATCAACTTTTTGGGATGTCTTGTTTTTTTGACCTTTTCGGTTTTTTTTTGCATTAAACGTCGTTCATCTCATTTTCTGTCAGCTAGTTTACTATGTTTTGTTGGTTTTGTTCGCAAATGTTGCGAAGCTTCACTTCTGTGTAAATACATGATACCGCTATTGATAAAATTGTTTTGCAACTCGGTTTTCTGATCTAGACAATTGTCGAAACTTTACTAAACGCGACCGTGTCTAAACTGAAGTGTAACTGGTTAAACGCGGGCCCTGGGAGCCTCATGTTTAGGCTTTGGTCCCGACTGGGCCTTGTTTTTGTGCCTGGAATTTTTTTGGCTTAAATTGAAGTATCGAGCTATCGTTTTGTCGGCTTACTTTCCAAGGCGTGGGCTTTGCTGGAAGGCTCAAGATTTTTTCATAATTTTGAATGCATTTATCTCACATTTTTGAGTGCATTAACATTTGTAAAGATAGTGCTAGTAATTGAGTTTCAATATTTCTGTTTCCGAAACCCACCACCCTCTCGTGAAGGTCAATTGGAGTCATCGTTGCTATTTGCCTGTTTTAGTTTTGGTTCAGTATGAACGCTTCCAAAGTAAGTTTTACAAAAAATAAAATAGTTTTTTCCATTTCATATAAAATAATATCTTTTTCTGTAAGACTCAGTATTTTACACAGTAGCGGATTTAGGGGGGGGGGGGGGGGCACCCCCTAAGGGATTCGATCCAAAGCCCCCCCCCCCCCCTTTGTACTATTTTGAGACATCCACTTTTAGATGACTGACCTTAAAAATTTTGTAAAGGCGCCAATATATACCAATTTAAAATAATTTTCCACCTAGACTAAGTGTTCTAATTAAACTGAAATCAAATTTTTATTTTACACTTTAACAAATATTATACCAATGAACATAAACGATTATTGCGAACCCGAAATTAGACAAAAGAGAAATAAGTTGCGGAATATAGAATAGACGTCAGACGAATTTTTAAATTTACAAATAATACACCACTGAAATAGAAAGAAGCCGGATGACAGGACAACATTTTGAAAATCTTGGATAAATCAACTTAACGTCAAAATCTGTTTTAATAGTTAATAGAATTGATATAAATGATCCCAGACGTCAACCTTATAAAACGTTTTCAAAATCCGTTAATTATGGGCCGAGTTGTAAATTTTGTCAAAATAAAGTCACTTTTATTTGAGCTTTATTTAAATGTGTCTTTATTCTATTCGATTCCAATTTGATTACCATTTAACAACTTGGTCGGCCATTGAACTTGTTAGGTAGTGGTAGACAATTTTAACATCCGCAGTTTTGGGGGAAGGATGTTAACTTGGTTCTAAGGTGGAATGTTCAGTTTCAGTTTGGGTTGATGAATGTCAATTTGATCCAAAGTGTATGAAAAAAAAATAATTTCAAATTTTTGTGGACGGATTTATTATTTCAGTATGTTCGTTTTCCGTTTTTTAATGCCATTTATACTATCTGGTACGGTTTTTATCCGCTTTCCTTGCAAAGCATGGGTTTTAGCTTGATAACACTTGCGAGAGCAAGTGTCTTGTAATCGGGACTTTTTTTCCCGTAAGCAACTTTTTGTAAAAGAAATTGAACTTGCTTTATATTGAACCTTGTTAACTTCCAGGTTCCTTCCCACTTGACCTGGAGGTAATGCGGTTGCTTTGGCATCTTAAGGTCTGTGGTTTGAGACCCAGTAGGGCCTTTTCTCAGTATGTATAAAATTAAAAATTTTTGGTAAAAATTGAATCGTCGGACTTTCGTTTGTCAGCTCAAATTTTGTCGGCTTAGGTGCTACATCACCGATTTTTCTTGAGCTGTAAGCAAGTATCATAATAATTGCTAGTGTTATTCTTTTAGTTTCCGTGGGGACTTGAATCAATTTTTTTCCAGTCAACTGGTGTCTGTTCAAAGATTTTCGGCTTCGTAAATTTTGTTCGTTGCTGATTTAAAAGTCAAGTGTCTTGCTTGGCGTGTTTGCCTAGAATTTTTGTTTGATAAAAACAGGAATAATGAAATTTTATGGGAATGTTTTTTTTTGTTTTTTTGATACGCGTTTGAAACTTTTTCACTTTTTGCAAAAACCTTAGTTTTTCTCGAACTTTTACAGATTTTCGAAATAGGGATATTAATAGAAATACCGTTACTCCCCTGTGTGACTGCATATTCTCCTAGTCTCTTGTAATTTTACCTTACTGTCTAGAGACTTCGAAAAAGTCTGTGCCAGGAATCTTTGACCCATATTTTTGGATCATTTAGTTTTCTCAAAAACTACCCTTCCAAATCTAGTTTTTTTTAGTTTCTATGGATAGAACGGGCAATGGAAAACTCCTCTGCATAAGAAGCCAAACCCGAAAAAATGATGGCCCTCGGAATAGTAAATTTTTTTTGACCGTTTCATTAGTCGTTTTGACTTCTCGAAAACAACCCTCCGAATTCTGAGATTGTGGGTTCAATGGAAATAGCAAGCTTTATGAAGCTCCCTTGTATAATCGCCTGCGCCCAATTTTTCTCACAAAAAATTATGGCCCTCGAAAATTCATTTGTTGGTGTTTTATCGTATTTTGAAACTTGGCTTTTCTCGAAAACTACCCTCCCAAATCAACTTTTAGCTACAATTGAAATAATAGGTTGTGTCAATTTCTTCTCGATAATTGGCACCGCTTATATTTATTTGCACAAAAAGCTTCGATTTACGGGAAAAAAATCAAATTTTTGATTTGATTTTGACTTCTCTTGATAAATATCCTGCAGTTCTTAAAAGTTCAATCGAGATACCCGGTTTTCGGAATCTTCTTTGATGAGGCAACTACGACCTATTTTTGCAGAAATTTGCTATGGATTTGTATTCGTCTCCTTTTGTTTTCACTATCATCAAATTCGATGTTTTTGTTATAGCGCAAGTGTTTTTTGAAAATGGTTTGTTGCTACAGATGTTTTTTCCGTAAACGTTAATTTATTACGTGGCGCGTCCCGGATTGTTGTCATAATTCCACTTTCTAGCGTTTCTTTTTCAAGTTGACTAAAATGAAGCTGATAGAAGAAATTAAATTCCTTTTAGCTGGTACAAGACGAAATTGTTTCTTCATCTTAGCCCTATCTTTTATGATTTTCACTGTCATGATCTGTAATACCGTTTTAAAGTCAGACAATTTCACCTTCAAAAAGAGAGCTAAACAGTTATCATCAAGCTCTTTTAAGGATCCAAATCAAGTAAGTCTTTTTTACACCAAGTGTTGTATTCAGTGTTTCCCGAATTATTCACGATTTAAGCTTTTATAGCATGATTAAAGAATACTTTCTACAAAGAATTTCTGTGAAAACTAATATGAACTCACATTTCAAGTTTCTTCAAGGCCTTTTTGAATCAAATTTGAAGACAGAGAGCTCTTGCGATCTCGGAATCATAGCTGTTGCAATTTTCATTTTCTCAACCAATCAGAAATGTAAATTGACGGAAGTTTCTTGTTTTTGGGCTTAGTTTATGTTCCAAGCAGATCAAGTTTGGCTCATCGAATTCATTTTCTAAATCGACTATTAACAGGGTTCAAGGAACTCTGTTGATCACGTTTATTCGTCCAGCGTAGTGAACCGAGAGAGCGAATTTCACGACATGAGATCAATATCAAATTATCGGCTGAAAATGCTGGACCGATTTTGTTCACATGAATCAAAGACGCGACGTCTGCAAGGCAAACAAAAGCAGTATTTGGCAAATATTCTTAAGAGACCCAACTTGAGCTATAATGATGAGTTCAAGTACATCAATTGTAGGGTAGCAAAAACAGGAACATTTGAAAGAGGTTGTTTTATGTGGACTTTGAACCATAATGTATCTCGATTCTCCGAAGAGCACTGTGTTCATCCAGTGTTTGACCCAAGGGTGAAACTTTTGCAAAGTTTGTCGATCGGTCAAGCCATGGAAAAAATGAGAAGTTATACGAGTTTCGTGTTTGTGAGGGACCCTATAGCGAGGTTCATTGCGGCATACATGGGAAAGATACGGTCGCATAAGATGGATTCGCGAAAATTTGTCGCTGAAGCGAGGAATTATTGTTTCAGCTTTGAGCTTCCCAGAAATTTCAAAAATTCAAATCATTTTTGTAAGTTAAAAGATAATATTTGAGACAAAAATTAACTGAAGCTATCGATACTGAAGTATGTATTTAAACGTTTACAGGACTGATTTAATATGAAAAATCATAATTAAAAAAAATACGATTTAATACATGGGAACCTTAAATTAAACTATACCCGATTCTGTAGAAAAATGTCAAATGAAACAAATACAAGTATATCATTGTCATTTGGAGGGTTTTCAAGGTATGCGGTGCATTTGTTCGATAAAGGAGAGGAATGGATGTCGTAAAATAGTAACAAAGCGTAGCCCTGGAGCACTTTTTCTCGTTTCAGGCTTCTTTTTATTGCGTTCACTCGTTTCAGTTTCCATGAAACTTGGATGTCACAAAATCTGTGCTGCGATTTGCATTTGCAGAGAACGTAATCCCATGGTCGGGTAAATCCCACGAAGGATTTAATTGTGAATGTCGTGATGCATGAGAATGCGTGTTTTTTCATAGGGGGTTAGAAATCCCAAAAAAGATAGAAGCGCAAATGGAGTGAGTATGTTTTTTTTTAAAAAGGAAGTGGGTGGGGGTTGAAAAGTTTTCCACCTTTTTTTGAGCAGTAGGATATTTTACTGCGCAGAAATGTTTTATGGAAAATTGTTTTTTGGAGGACTTTTGGGAAGGCTTCGATGAACAAACTGTTTTTCGACACGCTATTCCTCGAACGTCTTTGTTAAAATTGACGGGGAAAGTCCTAAAAATTGTCTCTTAATTGCTTTATTGACAGGTAGAACAGAAACTATGGATAGAGACTTTAAATACCTCGCTTTGAACTTAACCACCATGTACAAAAAAGTGAATATTCCAAAGCAAAGTTGGAACACTACTAGAGCAGCCAAACATATGGATTTGCTTAGAGAGATTCCAAAGGAGACACTGGTAAAGATATTGGCCATGTTTAGTCAAGATTACATGGCATTTGGGAATGATCCTCTAGATGCCTTGCGTTATGTTTCGTCTTTCGCTTGATACTGAATGATGCATAGCAGCCAGCACACAACAGTTAACATACAGGACTGTAAGCAGACAAATTTTCAGCAAGCAGTTTTATAAAAGAAATGAATTTTGTAGATTTTTCAGAGAATTGACGTGCGCAGGACGTTTTTGAGTGGGGGAGGCAGTTTTCAAAAGCAAATTCAGGAATTTCTTTGAGCAAATTGATGTACCGAGCGCTACCAAAACTTTTCAAAGGACCTATTTTGCAGCAAAAGTTATACTGGAAGTGAATTTTTTAAGAAAAAAAACCTGCCAAAAATTGGTGTTCGTAGTAAATTTTGGAGTGTTTTTATCCGAAAGTTGCGTTTTTTCGGCACGAGCTCATCACTCAAATTTATTGCATATTGGCCCCACAGGCGCCTGAAGACAATTTTTCTGTGTTGTAACGAGAAGTAATTGAAATTTACCTGCTTATAGACTTCTGCCGATATTGGTGATTGGTAAAACTCAGTTTCGGGTTTTTAGAGTCTTGATATGGTTGAGGTGATTTGTTTTGGCATAATTACTTTACTTGCTGTTGTTTTATGCTCAATTCGCTTAGGCGAGCGAAGGTTTAGCATGAGTCCGGCTAAGATCATTAGTTTTTAGATTTAAAAAGAAGGAAAATGCGCTTTCGAATAGCACAAGTTCAAATGGCTTGACGAAAAACGAATCATTTCTAATTTGAAACATGTAAAAATAATTCAAAATGAGTAACTAGGTTTCCGTGTTCATGATATTTTTTCCAACTCTGTTGCCATGTTTTTAATGTGTTTGCTCGGCAAAATAACTGCCTGTAAGTCACATCTCGGTCCAAATTTTTTATTATCCAAGTTATTTAACGGCTTCGAAATAAATTGAGCCAACTAAATAATTTGAAACGATATTTTAAAAAGTGATATAGACTTTTATTACACTCTACTCAGATAGATAGCTATAAAGAAATCACAAAAGTATCAAATTTTCTTAGTGAAGTATATGAGTTTGACTGTTTGACTTTATATAGACTTCGGTTATAACGGCTTTCTTCATTTGTGAGAGGAAACAAATTAGGAGATTGTTTCAGTTTTGAAAGGAAGCCGTGACAAAACTGCGTTTGCGAGGCGGTGGCACCGATGAGAGCGAAGCTTCTTTATCTATGTCATCTGTTTCCGTGAACGAATTCTGCTGATTAAGTTGTTCAGTTGAGGACTGAAAAAATGCGTCGTTTGACACGTTAGGAGTAGTAAAACACGAGTTAAGTTTATGGAAATCTATTTGGAATTTTCCGCCTCGTTTGCTAATCATAGTGTTGAAATTATATCCCCATAAAATGTCCTGGCCAGTGTAGGATTTAATGCATTGGGTGACGCTTCCACTTTCCTCGACAGATCCCTCGAGAATGACGACTATTTCGAACACGCCTTCTTCTATTTCCTGTTTCGACTTGTTGAACAGTGGACTCCTAGGTGTGACCACGTGTTCCACCACCCACGGCACTAGCAGGAGAATCCGGTCGTGCCCTGAAATGGAGAAATGCCCAAAATCAGCGTAGAGTTGAAAAAAAAAACATGGTGATATGGCGTGGCTTTTGCTTCATTCGCAGTTTGAAGATAGAGTTTCCAAAATTAAAAAATTCTCTTTTCATACAAGGCATGTACACCCTATAAAATTTTTGAGCCACACTTGAGAATGCACTGGAACAAATTAGTTATATAATTATCTCTCTTTACCGCCTTTTCTCATTTGTGAAAATGTTCTGGGCAAATTGGTTAAGCTGTATTTATAAATAGATAACACACATCGTTCCATCCATCTTTTTGTTTCAAGAAGTACCTTTATTATATCCAATGTCCAGCTCCTCCATAGCCAGACACCCCTCCCTCCGCGGAGTGTTCCCCCCTGGAGTAGACTGCATGCTGTGAATCAAGTAGACTCTCACATGTGCCTCGGGAAGAGACAGTTCCCCATTGGTCATGTCTGCTATTCGGAACGCCACTATTTTGCTACCCCTGCAAAAATTTACAATGAATAAATATTGAAATAGAATATTGCTAGTCTGTGAGAAAAAACACCAATTTAATTTATTTTTGATGATAGAATTTTGGCGCCTTTTCTTGACTTAATAACTGATCCAAAACCTTTCTTCTAATCGATTAAATCAGTTTACGAGGCTGAAAATGATAAGCTTTGTTTTTCAGTCTCAAAGAGATTGTTCTGAGTCACAATGAAATTTTTTTTTGTTTCTCAAAGGTGTAATGCCTTATCATTATCTACCCGCATTTAAGAAAAGTGAAAACAAATCGATTATAATGGATTTTCGTGGTCTAGAAAGTTGTAAATATAATCGATTCCCATGTTACGCTCAGACAACAGTATAGGGACCCTATTTGGACAAAAAGTTTTGCACTGCAAGCAAATTTTGGGGACTTTGGAAAACTTTAACTCCCTCAAAATTGGTATATGTTGGCACCAACGGCGCCTTCACAAAAATTTTAGGGTCGGTCGGCCAAAAATGCATTTCTTAAAAAGTACCAAAAGGGGACCCTTTGGGTCGGCAGGAAGTCGAATCCCTGAGAATGGAAGTTGCCGCCCCTGAGAGTAACCATAGTGGAGCTGTGCGAGCGTGCACCTAGCCTCGCTCGGGAGAGTTTTTTTTTTTGTTCGTTTCTGGTGGTTTATTACATTAGCTTTGAGATGTTGTGTCTTTTCATAAGTAGTGGTTTGTAATCTTAAGCATCAATTGCTTCGTTTTTTTTGTAAAATGGCAGAAATCTCTTTGTAAAATGGCAGTAATAATTGATTTTGAGAGTTGCCTTTGTTTTTCTGTTTAACTGTTTTGCTGAGAGATCTGTATGCTCTTGAACTGGGAGTATCTTTGTTTCCTTGTTAAGATGTTCGGTGAGAGCCATTCATTACTATAAAGCCAGGTATTGCGTGTGCGCAAGGCATTTTTTTAAATCCCGTTCTTGCCATCTAGAGTTCGAGTTGGTTAGTGATCATATGGGAACGGCGTGGCTAATGACGCCTCTGCCTATAGATTTATAGGTTAAACTGAACGTTTCTTTTGAGCGACCTCATTTGGTACTGGCCTATTTAAGTGAACTATTCCTTCGTTAAGTTTTTTCTCAAATTTTACAGTGAGGGGCAAAATGATGCATATTATCAAAGTAAGTTAACACCCACGGCTTTTGCTTTTCTTATATGGAAATTTGATGGATGGTGGTCACCTATCTTTACTAGGTTTTTAAATTTGTCGACCAAGTAGTGAAATTAGTGAAGAAGGATTTATAAAGTCAAGTTAAAAGCTCAAGACGTTTTTCTTCGGGCCATAAGTTTTTTCAACAATTACCCATTGGAATGTGATTTGTCTGACATTAGTTTCCAATGAAAGTAAATTTTTCAGGAGATGGGCCGATTGCGTGGCAAATGTAAAATGTGTTGGAGAAAGAGCATCCCCTTGACGGGACCCTTGCTTTATTTTCATCCTTGATGCACACTCTTCATTTTCAACATAGATGCAGCGACCCTGAAGATACGACAGCAACCATGTTTTGTTGTTTTTGCTGAGTCTTGTCTTAAAAATACTAGCCAGCAGCGCAGCCTATTGTTGTCTCCAGTGTCGATCGCCGCCGAGGTCCAGAGTCACAATGAGAGTTCGCTCGGTAAGGCTTTTTGAATTTACATCTTTGATGTTTTTAGTTAATAATTTCAACGCTGTTGCTGAAGAGCGACTTTTTTTTTGAAAATTATGTTGGTGTGTTGACGGAGAGATGCACTTGTTTAACTGTGGAATGAAAAGGCGCTCAACCAACTGAGCCACTAGAAAGCTGAGCTGAGTACAATTGAGTAATAGGTTTTAGATTGACTTAAGTCTTCGCCCAGCCTTGGACGTGGAGTCAATCTAGCTGTTTTCCATTGTTTGGAATAACCTGAGGAACACTAGTAGTGATGGATAAATTATCAAATCTCGTGAAATCATTTGTGGCAACTTTGCCTAGGTGGTGAAGGTAGTGAGGTCCTGGTCCAATAGAGTGCTGCAGAATTGTCGTTCTAGTGGAAGTGATCTTATTCTCCTCATGCTTTTATGTTTTAATATGTTTGGTTGTAGGATGCGTAAGGTCTTCAGTAAGTTTAAACATTTTTTTGGTATCATGCCTGCAGTGTTCTTGAAAGAATGGGCTTTTGTCAGTATCGGTAAGTGAAGAGCAATGCGCTTTTCTATATCCTTAGTTATTTGAATCTTGATATTTCAGAAGATGTTTGATTGAGTCATTGTGCCATGCATCACTGCTTGATGTGGGCTGCATGTAATCATTGACAACATCAATGAAGATGTTCACGCTTTTGATATTAATAGCTCTTTCAAAGTGGAGGTCATTTGTAGGAAGACTTATTATGTTTTCATACGAAGTTTTCTTCTTTCAATACGAGCAATTGGTCATCCTTTAGGAGGTCAGTTCTGGGTAACCACTCGACATCCAGAATGATTTTTGATTTTGCTTGATCCGTTTCACAGCGTTTGTTGTTTAGATAAAAGATGTATAGAGTTTTATCATGAAATAAAATATTGTCTGTTGTCTATTATGGGTTGTGATCCGTTGGCGTTTAGTTGTAGGATCTTCAAGACTGCAGGTTTGACTTATATCGAAAGTTGATCTTTGTCCTGCAGACTAATACTGCTTTTTCCGCATGTAAAATTGCGGTCCCAAATTTTATGGGGTTGATTTGTGTGTTTGATTTCTGAGCCCAACCACCGAGATAGCATCAAACTTTGAAGTCCTAGTTAAACTCCTGAGTGCAAATATCTTATTTCGTCGGTCCGTTTTAGGTTCAATTCCTTGACGCATTAAAATGTACTGTAAACAAATGAGGCTGGTCTAAACTGCTTCAAGTATAGAACAAACCAGGGCGGATCTCGAGTAGGAAGCGGATTTTCAAAAAAAAATTGGGCGATCTTTTTTTTAGGTTAACCAAATCGATGTCCGAGATCTCCCAAAGCAATCAAAAGACCTTTTTTTGGCAAAATTTTCTGCGCCGCAGTCAAAATTTTTTTAAGAGAAAAACAGGCCAGAAAAACAAAAAGTCGTAAAAAAATTGATTCCCAAAATGGTGGAGCACAAACGAACATTACTCGAGTAAAACTAACCTGGACGCTCACCTTACTAGCTTTAAATAAGAACAAAAATTTCTAATCGGTTTTTCCCGACACTGGGAAAAGTGTTTGGAATTTTTTTAATGACGTTCGAATCACGACTAAAAGGGCTTTAATATGATATGTCACTCAACCAAGTTCCAAGATTGTTTGTGGTACCTGATTTTGCGTGGAAAACAAAAAAGTAAAAAAAAACTAAAACACCCGAATACAAAGTTTCTCATTTTTCAAACGATCGGAACAAATAAATTGTCTATTGTTTTCCAAATGTGAATAGTTTGATAAGATAATTCGTCGTCTCTAAAGATTCTGAGCTCTAAGGGGAATAATTTTTCTTTGAAATTCAATTACTTTTATTTTGTTGAAGGGCTCTCTCTGGCTGTTGAACTGAAATAAGAATGACAATGACTGACCTCTCTTCGAAGACACATAAATTATCACTGAACATGACGTTCCTCTTGCGCCACTTGGGATGTGTGAATTTAGAAATGACAATGGCCACAATTAGACTCTGGATCAGCACTCCACTCACTATTTGCAACAGCAGAATCCCAATTCCAATTCTACAAGTGTTCTTCACGTAGTGGCTTCCGTAGCCTAAAGATATACTTGTCAATGAATGTAAAAGTACTCAATATCAGAAGCGGATTTGGGAATGGAGTGGGTTCCTCCTTCCACCCCTCTCAGAAATTCGACACCTCATTTACCCAAAGGTTCCACCTTAATGGTGCTGATTTATGCAATCGGCTTATTTCCTCACCTCATCTGCGAATTTTGACAATTTAAATGATTGCTCTCATCGTCCGATTGTGACATATTAGGACAAACATATTCATGCCTAGCCATCTATAGCAACTCATTACACCAAAAGGTTGATGCTCATGTGATATTGGGGGGGGGGGGGGGGGCAATTTATTCATATTCATCTAAGTTTGCCCCTCTGAAAGTTAAATCAATTATGATTCAGCGTAATTCAACAAATCTATATAAATAAACTTTTTGGTTGCTTTTAATATACATTTCGTACAAACTTAGAAAGGACAGGCGAAGGGCATCAATAATGCTCACGAAAGAGGAAAAAGAGCCACGGCATCCATTTTTGGGCGACCAATGTTGACAATCTAATGGTCGAAATTTTTGTCGACCTTTTTTTTTAGGTTGACCAAATTGATTTTTCGAGCTCTTCCAAAGCACTGTTTTGGCCAAATTTTCCCACCGCAAGCAAGTTTTGAAAAAACATGCCGAAAAAGGCGTTTTTAGGCATTTTTTGGAAAATGTTGACCAAAAAATCGCGTTTTTCGGCGCGCTCCCCCTCAAAATTAGTATATATTAGACAATTTTTAGGGTCCATCACCAAAAATGGATATTGGAAAATAGTACAAAGGGGGGAGGGCAGGGGGTCTAATCCGCCCCTGTATTAGATAGTTCTATTCTTGCGGCGTACCTATAGTTGTTTGTGTCTCGATTGAAAAGAGGAAGGCCGAGTACAGTCCATCAACTCCAGCTATGCAGTCGTCGTCAAACATGTAAATCATCAGTTGCTCAAGCCCCCACCAAAGTAGGCCAAAAAACAACCACGTAGTTATAAAAGCGACACTAACAAATAAAAACTGATACGGCCATCTGAGATTCACTAACGTCTGGAAAACTGTTTTGGAGTAGCGTTTTAAACTTCGAGGAGCGTTTTTAGTGATAGTGTTTCGACGACCGGTGTTGGTTATAAATCGCATGTTTAAAGATATATTTGCCTCGCTAAAGTTCGGCCGGTCGAACTGTCGGCGTCCGAATAGGTTTCGAAATTGGTGTTGGATGCTTTGAAATGAACATAAAGCGTAGTCGTGTTCCTTGCACAGAATCAACGGTCGAGTTTCGTCTGAGTCTTGATTTATGGAAACTACATTTTGATCAGGAGGAGAGGTTTTTCGTACTTGGCTGCTTGTGGCATAATCACGGCTATCAATATTTATATTTTTGAACATCGGGTATTTTGACATTGTGAAGAGTTATCAAATTTCGAGCTCAGTAGATTTGAAAGTTCGGTTATAAATAAATAGTAAATGTAAATGTATATGCAAGAGTATCGTAATCAAAAGAGATGAAAATGTTAAAAAAAGGATATTTATAATTTTGAAAGACCAGGAATTTCAAACGTGTTTTTAATATTGGAGGTAAATTTCAGTCTCGCCTTTAAATTTACTTGAATCAACTATCTTGAACCGAACTATTAGTATCAGGTTGAAGTAAAGCCAGTTTTGAGTTTCGAGCCAGCAGGTGACTAATTTTACTGAATTTGTTCAGCTAATTTCAGATAAGGTGCATTATGCGTTCCATTATGATAGCACGTCTTTGGGCAAATAGATCAAAATTTGAAATTTAATTACTGAACTTTTGAAATGTTCAGTCTTTTATAAGACTAAGTTTTACAATTCAGTTGTACTAAATGACTGTTTTCTTGTCGCAATAAGTAGATGATATTTTTGGCAATGTAAACATTGAGTTTTGAGAGATGCTAGAAAACATTTTGTTGACTGATTGCGACCTGACCTCTCGCTTTGACCTTTACTTTGCATTTGTAAAATACAAAATCCTTGATATCCGCCTGCCTTGAACCAAATGTTATCTTTTCAAAAGGTGATCAGGGATCTTTAAGTGGCTCGATTAACTTAATAAATAAATGACTTGCTATTTTCTGAAATACCAGGTGTATTTTCTTTGTCATATTTCATCCGAAGTTATGAAATGTCTGAATAGTTTTTTTATAGGTAAGCTTTGATTCTATATTTTTTCGATATTATTATCCAATTCAGTTGATAAAGCACGTATCATTACATGAAACAGGTGCCCTGAAAAATGATAATAGCAAATGGGGTTTGCTGCCAGTAATTCGCGCAAATAATTTTAGGCTCAAAAAGTTCTGGATCAAGTTCACATCCTCTCCCCTAGATGGATTTGGGGGAGGGGGATGTTAACTTGATCCAAATTTTTTGGCTCGGGTAAAGGGGGCTTTAATGCTCAAAATGAAGTGCACCTTTCACTTTAAAATTGCAATAATAATAGTTTGCTCATGGAAATTGGGAACCCCTGACATCCTGACTTTCACCCTACTTTTTGCTGGCTGTCTGAGCAAAAAGAAAGTGAGCGAAAGTAGAAGTTTGTTTCAGATTTAAAATGTTGTTTGTCTTGAGATCTGTGAGCAAATGTAATTGCTCCACGTTGAAGTTTTTTATCGCTCTGAACCCCCAACGCTTTATGAACACCATTTCCGATTCTCACAAACGATCATTGGACGATTTCAGACGACCACGTGACTCCGCACCTGTTAGGTCACGTGATCCAGATGAAGTGTACAAGGGTCATTTGATGTATGAGGAAGATTCAGTGTTGAAGAGTGGTATTTTGCAGATGTCCAGACGGGAAGTGGCGTCTGTGAACACGGAGAGCAGAGCCAGATATCTTGCCAGGGAAGTGACGACTGATGAGCGTTTATGAACATAGATTTGTAATAAGATTAATTTTTTAGCTGGTTTTAGTTTGAATGATCAAAATTAATTTTGCAACTGACAATTTCAACGGCAAAATTTTTTCAGTTTATATAGATTAAACAAAAAATTGGTGCTCGTTTATGATGCAAGTTTGGTACTTTTTAAGAAATCCATTTTGTCTGAGCGACCCTAAATTTAAGGTGCCTTTGGTGCCATTATATATTAATTTTTGAGGGGGAGCCCGCGCCAAAAAACGTGACTTCTTTGTCAAAATTGTCCAAAAAAGGCCCAAAAACGGCTTTTTTAAACTGTTTTCCGGCGCGAAAACTTTAGTCCAAATAGGGTCTTTATAGTGTTCTGGGACCGCTCAGAAAACTCTATTTGGCCGACCTAAAAAAAAAGGTCAACAAAACTTTCAAAAAGTTTTGAAAATCCGCTGCCCCCTCGAAAAAATCCTAAATTCAAAACAAAATCAACTTGAACTAAACTTTTAAGTAAGCTAAACGGTAATTTTTAAGTGCTCATCATTGATCCAGAACTATATTGAAAGTCGGTTTCATAGTGACTTGCGCCTATGTTCTGTTTTCAATTGGGGTTTCCATGTTGTCAGGAGATCATTCTTATTTATTATCAGATGGCGAAAATCCGAAAAGTTTGGAGCCGAAAAAAAAGATTGGCAAATCAAAATGGAGCTTGTTTTGATTATTGATATACTCAAAATGCAAATGGAACTTTGGGTATAAAAACTTGTTGTGAATTATTGCAAATTGATGAAATTATAGTTTCCGTCTTTAAATTTATATTTTTGAGATAGTTTTTAACTGACATAAGCACTAGTAACTCAAGGTAAATCAAGTCAAGATTTCTCCATTTTACATTTTTCTCAAAGCTGTAAATCCTAAATAACTAAATAAACATCCAATGGAACTAAATTACTGTAGAAAAACTTGTTTGAAGCTATTTAGTACAAATATTTGAATGGCGTTCCGGGTTTCTAGACTCAATATTTTGTCGAAAAGTCGGCGAATTGTTGTTTGATTTCAAGTGTGGGGCAGAACAGGGGTTCTCTGTTCAGAGCTGAACAAGTTGTATGTTGGGCCCCTGTATTGACATCGATATGCGAAGTCAATACAAGGGACCAAAAAACTTTTTGCATCAGTTTTGAGAAGCGCAGACTTATAACCAATATCAAATAAAGACAACTCGGAGCATCTATATTCAAAAATATTGGCCTTCCGATTAGCAAAGGTGTTTTAACTGGGTACAAGACTTTTTTACACGATAAAGTTTTTTTTCACAGGACTTATCTTAGGAACCTCCGAATAGCAACAGATGTCTTCCAACCGACATCTTGTTCTTAAATACCCGTTCTATTCGAAGTTTAATTCTGTTGATTTCAAATTTACCAGCTCCGATTTTGAGTTATTCAGATTTTTTCATGGCTTTCTTGTGATTTAAATGGCATAGTCGTTTCATATTGCGAGGATTGACTGGCGAAAATAGTTTTTGATTGTATTTGCTTTGAGGAGACTACGAATTTCAAAAGGTGCGAGAGCTCAAAGTTCTTTCGGGAGTCTGCCTATCTATCATCAGCTTAGTTTAACACTTCTTAGTTGCGTTTCAAATCAAATTCAATAGAGGGAACTTTCTTCCTTGTTCTCTGCTAGATTAGCTTCATTTGTGACAAATTGACAGAACTTATAAATTGTTTCGAACAATTTTTCCAACGAAGTGACTTTTGTCTCATTTTTTGTAGTGTAGTTTTCAAACTGTGATGTATCGTAAAGGTTGCGCAACTCCTCTTGCTCTCTGTTATATTATGCAGCCTTTGATCCTTGACTAGTTGGATTTCATCATCAATGGTTCAGCGTTAAAGCAGCTAGAACATTTCGAATTTTTTTTACTTTTGAATGTACCGTTGTGTTATAACTATGCGCTTCTTTGTAGACTTATACTCTATGCCCAAACTTTACGATTAGTTAATTCTGCAGTTAATATATGAATATACCGGAGGCGAAAAATAGTGGGCAGAAATCTGTTTTTTTTTTCTGAATTTTTGTAGTGAACGTTTTTTCGGGTTTTGAAAAAGCAACGCCTCCCTCTTGATGATTCTTTTCTGTTATAGTTTTTGGTTTCTTATCTCTGACCAAAGATGAAGTGGCACCGTACAAAAGGTTGGTTCTGTTATTACACTCGTACTTTAGTGAGCGTTTGTGTTATACTACGACTATTCTTTTTTTTCTAACCTAAGTCGCAAATATTAGTGCCACTTTTGGGGCACATTTAGGGCTTTTTAATAGCATGTGCTTTGACATTCGAATAGTAATGAATTAACTCAGTTGATGCATTTTAAATTCTCCAATTGCACCGAAAAAAGCTATTTGCTTCAAACATTAGAGCAATCATATAAACTCGATTTCAGAAAATTTATAACTCGCATGTATCTCGCAATTTTTTAAAATGCATAATTTATACAACACAGTGGTTTGACACAAACTTTTAAAAGTTTTTTTAGTCTTTAGGAGTTTTATCTGTTGAAGAAAATGTTTTTCAGACGTTTTAAAAGCAAGTCGGCCCTTTCAGAGTTTTGTCCCGATTCAAAAAGCATTTTTACTTTTATTGTTCCGACCATTGAAAATGGGGAGTAACTTCATATTCGGGTGTGTTTTAGTTTTTTTTGTTTTCCACGCAAAATCAGGTAACACAATTAATCACCGGACTTGTTTGAGTGACATATCATATTAAAGCCCTTTTAGTCGTGATTCGAACGTCATTAAAAAATTCCAAACAATTTTCCCAGTGTCGAGAAAAACCGATTAGAAGTTTTTGATTTTGGTTCTTATTTAAAGCTAATAAGGTGAGCGTCCAGGTTAGTTTTACTGAATTAGGTGAGATTTAAAATCCCTTACAGTCGTGATTCTTCGAACCTCATTCAAAAATTTCGAAAAATTTTTCCCAGTGTCGAGAAAAACCGGTTATGAAATTTTTGCTTTTTCGTCTTAGTTCGAGCGAATAAAGCGAGCAAGCAGTCTTATTTTAATTGCTTTCAAAGCCTAAATTTGGAGTATTTAACTCCTTTTTGGAAACAAAACTTTCAAAAATTCAAAAAACTGCAAAACTTCAAGAAATGTTCGAATTTTTTTTGGGTTTCATTTTGCTGTAAAAAGTTAATTTTGCAACAAAATTTTTATTGCAGTTTGTTTATTTAACTATGACTGTCGAATATACCTAATCCTTAGGTTTTTGTTCAGCTCCCTTTATCACACGACGCCGAAAAAAATTGACAATAATTGGAAAAAACTGTTCTATTTTTTAAGACTGGTCAGAACCTTGTGCTTCTTGCACAGTAACCGGCTATCCTTGTTCACGTTAGCGATAAGCTTAGTGTATTCTTACGAACCTTCTGTTTTATCTAACATAACTCGCAAACAAAAGTATTCATTTAAAGTGTTAACTGTAGCATTCGAAATTGCCTAGCATCTGTTCTCTGCTTTTTTGGCTCGTGTTTGGAGACTATTAAGCGTCCGTGGCTGAGTGGTTAGTGTGTGAGACTCTTCATCGCTGTAGGTTGCACGTTCGAGTCCCAGACGTAGTCGAGTTTTCACTATTTCGAGGCTTATGTCTAATTTTTCTTATTGCTTTTAAGAGCTGCTTTTTGTCGTGATCTGGCTAGTGTTCGCGAAGCGAAGCTTCGCCTCTGTGTTGGTAGAATAGAAGGTAAGTAGTGTTATCCAAGCATCAAGGTGTTAATTCTAAAGGCAACTATATCATGGCCGTTGGATTTTTTATGTCGAGAAATTGTTGCATGAGCTCAGCGTAAAATCTTATAATGTCGTTTAGCATGCGCTACGGACTTTTTCACTTAAAAGGGGAAGAAACTTAACTTTTAATTTTTGTTTTGCGAAAATATGCGACATAAGG